CACACACCACGCACAGGCACAGACACACAAACACACCACACACACACACATACACACACACACACACACACTACTCTTCGAGAGAGAAACCTGAGACCGTGTTTTAAGGAAAGCAAAAGTAGGTCATGTTCCCCTGGGTGCGGAGTGAGAGAATACAGTGGAATTCCATGGATTCATTCCAAGAGATTCTCTGTGCTTTCCAAACTCCCTCTCCAAAGTTCTTTGCAAAGAAAAGCCTTTCCTGGGCTTCTCGGGCTCTTCATTGGCCTGAGCGCGCAGCCCTGAAGGGTCCAGGGTTGGAAGCACATTCCCAGGTACAACTGAGCAGGAACCTGCCCACACGCCAAACTGAATCAGGACAGAAGGGTGGGGCGCTGGCTGGGGGTGCCTCCAGTAGCCCCATGTCCAGCACCGAGAGCATTCTCGTCTAACCTGAAGCCCTTCAGCCCATCACTGAGACAGTTGCCCTGACCGCACAGTGCAGCCACTCGGTATCCCAGAGGGGCCTGCCAAAGCCTGACTCCCACGGGCGCACAGCACAGCCATCACAGGACCTAACGTGATGCCAGGTTAAGGGAAAGAAGCCCAAAGCACAGCTTGGGCAGTTCCCTAAGCCGAGGGCCAGGAGAGCCAGGCAGGTGAGGGCCAGGATCTATGTAACAGGGGACACGGGCATGTTCCGGGGATGGTGAGGATAAGGGCCCCCACTTCCAAGGAAACAGTCCCTCAGGAAGCTTTCCTCTGACTCCCATAAAGGCTGCTTTAATAAGAAGGTTGGAGGGGGGCTGGAGCGATAGCACAGAAAGTAGGGCATTTGCCTTGCACGCAGCCAACCAGGGTTTGATTCCCAGCATCCAATATGGTCCCCCAAGCACTTCCAGGAGTAATTCTTGAATGCAGAGCCAGGAGTAACCCCTGAGCATTTGCTTTTTGGGTGTGACTCAAAAATTGGGGGAAAAAAAGAAGAAGACGACGACTGGGGGGCCCCAGTTCCTATTCCAAACATCTTGACCAGGGCTCTTCCAGTGCCAATGACAGGTTTCCACCTGGGGTGCCCATTCAGGCACCCTGGAGGAGGCAATGCCACAATGGGATGGCAGAGGCTCCTTCTGAGCCCAGCGGGAAACAGACACTGATATCTGCTCTCCTGCAGTTGACCCTCTCTGTCATTTCTCAGGCTCCTCCATGGACCCTGGGGCACTGTGCACGAGAGCAAATCTGGCCACCAGGGCATGAACAGAAATCAGTCCCTCCCCCCGGTCCCTCAACTCCACCCAACCACCATCCTCTTTGAAAGGATATCCCTCGGGAATCCCTCTCCAGCCAAGAGCCCATCTCCCTGGAAATGTAACCAGTGCAGAGGGCAGGCAGCACCCGAGGAAGCTGCTTCCACACACTCAGACCCACAGGCCCTGGAGACCCCTGGGTGGCAGGGGGGGGCTGCACTCAAGGTCTCAGCGAACAGGCCAAGCACATGGGGAGAGAAATAGTATAACTGGACCCTTAAGGAGGGAGGACGGAGGTCCCTGCAGTCCACACAGGTGAAACCACCCACTAGGGGCCCCTGTCCCGAGGGCCTCCAGCTCCCTTCAGGCCAGTCTTCGCCCTGCCTGTCATTCCACAGACTGTGCACAGCTGACAAGGACATCTCCGCAGCAAGGACGGGGAGAGACTGCACTCAATCCCCACACCCAGAGCTCCCCTCTGTCATGTTTCAGTGAATACATGGCCCCTCCACTCGATCACCAGGAAGCTCAGTGCCCCTCCCGTCTGCACACTGCCCCCTCTGAGGGCTCCTGGTTCTTCCTCTGACACCCTTTGCCTGTGTGCCCTTATTTTAAATGCCCTCCCCCATTTGGTTTGGTAAGTGATAGGGGTGTGTTTTGGGGGGTTGTTGTTGTTGTTGTTGTTGCTTTTTGGGTCACACCCGGCAATGCACATGGGTTACTCCTGGCTCATGCACTTAGGAATTACTCCTGGCGGTGCTTGGGGGACCGTATGGGATGCTGGGAATCAAACCTGGGTTGGCCAAGTGCAAGCAAACACCCTCCCAGCTGTGCTATCACTCCAGTCCCAGGGGTGTATTTTTTAACTAAGCAAAAGAGAAAAGTGCACCTTCCAGCTAAACAACCTTGCTGGGCCCTACAGCTAGCTTCAGGTCAGCGGCTTCCCCAGCTCCAGGGGGGCTTACTTCAGGGCATATGGTCCCCCACACACACTCACGCTTCCCTTCTGGGTGCAAGGAGCGACCCTCCCCCCACCCAGCCTGCCTGATCCTTTCCACAGACTGCATCTCTGCCTCATCCCTGCCTCCTGCAGGCCCGCGTCCACAGCAATGACCGTCCCCACTGCCACTCACACAAGCACAACACATTCTCAGCCACACAAAGACACACTTGGGTACCTACTCCACCATACAGGCACACTGCCACACTCAACACATAATCTTCCCTACACACACACACACATCCGGCTCACGCCCCTCTCACATATGCTCATTGTCACACTCAAACGTAATCTTCCCTCGACACACAGCCACGCTCACACCCCTTTACACACACATGCACACTGACACACATCTCACACTCTTTATCTCTCTCTCTCTCTCTCTCTCACACACACACTCATTCACACAGACACTTAAACTCGCACTCACATGCCCTGTCAGGTTCTCTCACACACTTTGGGGTACCACTCCTCAGTCTCTCCTTCCCTTGGACCTCCTTTCTCTCGAGGTCCAGCCGCTCTCCCTCCCTGACTGACTCCACTTCCTTTGTCCTTCCCTTAACTGCTATGTCCTGCGGACATCTGCCTCTCTGTGCACACAGGGGCCCTGCTGACACCCAAATATGCAGACATCTCCAATCTCCCTCCTGGCCTCTCCCGACCCTCCCTGCATGGCAGGAGCTGGAATCACTAATCCCAGACGCTCAGCAACCATCCAGCCCATTGCCCCAACTCCAGCCCCTTTTGTTGAGCTCCATAACCACAAATCTCATTTCTGCAGACACTGCCAAGGGTTGGGGAAAGGCTGAGTGCCCAGATGAGTCCCATCCACACATGGAGTAGCTCCGTCATTACAGTGACCAGGCAGCAAGCATAGCCGGCTCCTTCTCTTACCTCTGCAGTCCACGTGTGGGGTGCACATTCAGGTACAGCACACAGAGTGGAGAGAAACCAGAAATGACTTTCTCTCAGCCTTCTCTTCCCTCCATCCCACAGCAGCCTGAGTCCAGGCCAGCACAAATGCATATGAGGAAGGAGAGGAGTCTGGACCCAACCCTGGTCTGGGCTAGTACAAGACCTCGGGCGAGTGATTTCTCCATGCCATGTCCTAATTTGGCAAACACGAGGCGGTACACCGCTTCGCAGCCTGGTTGCTGGAATTCAGCCAGGTAAGACGCAGAGCAGACCAGGGTCCTGCAGAGTGAGCACCCCAGCACCCGGCCCGCATTCCATGTGTACCCCCACTGCAGTTCCCACCGGCCAGTTCTGCCCTCCAATCCTGCTATATGTTTCCGGCTGGCCCAGTCCCCAGCCTTTTCCTTCTCTGAGGCTCAGCTCCACAGTCCCTCTCTGGACCCCCCCAGGCTGACCCAGATGCCATTGCCCAGACACCCTCCCTGATAGGCCACAGTGTGGGGCCCACGGTCTCCCTGTCTCCCCTCCTGCATCAGTGCTCCTCCAAGTACCCCTCCACCTGCCGAGGATTTACGATTCAGCACTGAACACAAATAGGAAAAACATGAGAATTACGAGAAGGCAAATTTCTACTGACGGCACCACTAAAACAAACAACCCCGTGCCTTTCTAAAAATTAAGACTCCACTCAGTAGCTTCACTATATGCAGACTCTGTGTGAAATTTCCACCATATGTCATCCTACCTAATCCTCACAATAACCCATGGATTCAGGTACTTATACTCCTGTTCTGTGGGCGAAGAGATGGAGACTTAGAAAATTTTTGAAACTCTCTCTATGTCACTTAGCTAGTAAACAAAAGAGCCAGTATTTAAACTCAAGATCCACGATCCACCCCAAAATAGATCTGAGCACTTCTCAGTGTGGAATGATCCACCTCAATGATTTATGGGAGCCCCTTCCTAGGTGACCACATGACCTCTGTTGGGATATATATGGACCTTCCTAAGAGGTCTGTTATGTTAAATGATAAACTCCTTGGCTTTTAATCTTAGTTTCCACAGTTTTTAGCATTGGAGTGAGCACAAAGTAAGGAAACCTTGAACTGTGCTTAATGAATGAATGGATGAAGGGAAAGAGGATTAAAGCAGATGAAAAGTGGAGTGAATGAGGAATGAGTGGATGAAATGAATAGAGGGATATGTAGACAGAGTGAAGGAAGGGATGAGTGGATGGAGTGAATGAAGGAATTAGTGGATGGAATGGATTGATGAGTGGATGGAACATGAACAGAGGATGAGTGGAATAAGTGAATGAAGGAATGAGTGGATCAGTGAATGGAGGGATGAGTGGATGGAATGAATGGAGAGGTGAGTGGATAGAGCAAATGGAAGGATGAGTGAAATGAATGAATGAAGGAATGAGTAGATGGAATAAATGGAGAGGTGTGTGGAGGGAGCATGAATGGAAGGATGAGTGGAACAAGTGAGTAAAGGAATGAGTAGATGAAGTGAATGAAGGAATGAGTGGATGGAGTGAATGAAGGAATGAGTGGATGGAGTAAATGGAGGGAGGAGTGGATGGAATCAATGGAGGGATGAGAGGATGGAGCATGAACAGAGGGATAAGTGGAATAAGTGAATGAGGGAATGAGCGGATGGAGTGAATGGAGGGGTGAGTGGAATGAGTGAATGAAGAAATGAGTGGATGGAGTGAATGAATGAATTACCATTTATTTCACACTTGCCCCCCACTCCACCCTCCTGCTGGGTTCAGAAAACCACATTCCAGTGGGCCCCAGTCAGTGGACCAGAGACAGCACCTGGGCCAACACTCCCAGGGCCAGGGCAGCGCTCACCGGCACAGGTGATCAGTCCGGCATGCACCGCGGAGGTCCAGGCAGTTGGGTTTCTCCTTGTCCTCATAGGAACAGCTGGGCAGGATGGTCTGCCGGCGGCGCTCGGCACACGCCTGGTCCTGACAGGAACAGAAGAGCATGCGGTAGGTGTACTCGCTGGGCACCCGGTCGAAGAACTGGCGCAGGGCCTTGTGGCACTTGCGGCGGTTGCAGCGCTCCGTGGGCGAGATCTCGCGGTTGCAGATGGAGATATAGGAGGAGCGGAGCTTCTTGCAGTTGTCATTCAGGTTACAGGCCTTGGCGGCATCCAGGCAGTGGTTGCTCTTGGTGCTGACCACCGGGTCCACCCCTGTCCCTGCAGCAGGAGGAGAGAGCGGGTCAGAGAGCCACACAGGCATTGGGGAGACCGCAGTGCCCACCGGCTGGCTGGAGACATCGTCCAGAATTCAGTATGCCCCAGGTTTTAGTTTCCTCGCATGGGGCTAGTGAGCATCAAATGATGCAGGATGACAATTCACACGCAAGCTGACAAATTAGGGGGTCGGGCCAGTACCTGGTGCTGGTCATTATGATGTTGGCCCTGAGTCCAGGGTCTTAGTTTGGATTAGCACAAGCCTAAAGGTAAGCAATGAGGTGTTCATGGTCCTGCTCACTGGTATTAGGAATGAGGATACCTGTGACCAGCTCACAATTTGACTCCGTGGAAGAGCAAATGCCTCAAATGTGTGAGACCCTGAGATCAGGATCCAGCCCCAGGGTGGGGAGAATCCCGCAAGAAGGTGGCATCTGAACTGTGACATGCCCAGCCCTGAGCACCCAGCAGCGTCACCCCTGAACAACCTCTGCTCAGACACCACAGCACCAGGGGTGTTCAAGGAGGGACTATTCTCATTAAGGATACAGTCAGGAGGCTGGAGCGATAGTAGAGCTGTTAGGGCATTTGTCTTGCACGTGGCCGACCTGGGTTCGATTCCCAGCATCCCATATGGTCCCCTGAGCACCGCTAGGAGTAATTCCTGAGTGCAAAGCCAGGAGTAACTCCTGTGCATCACCAGGTATGACCAAAAAAAAAAAAAAAGGATACAGCTAGGGTACATAAATAACGTGACTGTCGCCAATCTCAGCCCACCAATCTCAGGCCACCACACATTGCAAAATACCACTGGGACCCCCGCAGGGGGAGGAGCCCTCCCTCTCTTACAGGACAGGGTCAGCTGCACACTACATTGTCCCCGTCCACTATCATGCTGCCCATTGGTAAGGAACGGCAACCTGAGGGGCATGCCCCCACGTCTCTAAGCTACCAGCAGGTACTCCTTATATCTGCTCCCCTTTAAGGCTAAATTCCTGTGGGCAGGGAGAAAGCTCTAGGGGATACTGGAAATAGCTCATTCCACACACTGCATGGTCCCAAGCACTGCCAAGAGTGATGGCTGAGCCAGGGAAACCCCAAAGTAAATTAAAACGTCAAAAAATAAAGCCAAACCCCTCAAAGCCATCTGTACCTAGTCTCTTCCTCTCCTTCCTGCTTCCTGGACCCACCGCAGCCTGGAGCTACAGATTTTGTGAGTAATTTCCCTCACCCTTGTCAGTGCTCGGGGACCCTGGACCTCTCCTGCTCAGTAGCAGCACTGGACATGGCTAGTCACCTGCTCTGACCCCCACCCTCTGCAGGCCTTCCTGGTGGCCAACCCCTGCCCTTCCCAACCTGCTTCACAGACCCCCCCCCATCTCTAGCATCAATCAGCCTTTCTCTCTGCACCGACCCCCACCCCAGACCACAGCTATCTCAGGGCCTCCAACAGTATGGGGGTTTCAAATTCACATCCTCAGACTCACACACGCCAGTGGCTGCTCCCCAGCTCCACCCGGAAGGCTATTACCGCACCTCAAACCTCACTCATCCAGGTCAAATAGCCTCCTCAGGACCCCTGGATGCCCCAGCCCCCCGTCCTTCTTGCAACACCGACTGCCGAGCACCTGAGCCCTTCCTTATTCTGCTTTGTCATCCATGAATTGGAGAAGCCTGCTGTTGTGCGGACAAACCCCTGCAGAAGCCGCACGAGCACTGCCACCACCCGAGCCCATGTGCCACCAGCCTCCCTGCCATCCCTGCCCAGCCCCATCACCTGGCAGTCAGCACCCCAGGCATGGAGGGAACGAGAGGTCAAGGCCGGAAGCTCACACACGGGCTCACTCTAACACTCGCTCCCTAGCCCATCAGAGGCCCCAGCAAGCCACAGGCATCTACAGCAGGATCTCAACCGCTTCCAGTCAGGCCTCCTTCCCGAGGCCTCCGGTCCTTCTGGGTGCCCCCCTAGTCCCGTGCCATGCCCCCCTCTTTATGGAAGTTCCACCTGTAGCCCCTTAGAATATTCCAGATTGAGAAACACCACTCCAGATTGTTGAAGTTGAAACAAGGGCTAGCCAAAACAAGATGTACTCACGCACTCTGAAAATACACACCAGATTTTAGAAACTTAGAAACAAATGTAAAGTAGTTCATTAATATTTTTTAAGTTTGATTACATGTTGAAGCAATAGTCTGTTGAATATACTGTGTTAAACAAATTCTTGTAACCACTCTCATTTGCTGCTCTTTTACTTTTTGAATAAGACTATTGAAAACAGGGGTTTACACGTGTGAAACATCAAAGTTGCGTTCGGCATTGCTGTTCTTGAGGACGCCACTTCCCGGTCGCCCTCCAAGCACTCTGCTCACGTCCAGACCCCCAGAGCTTCCGGAACTGGCACTAAGAAGGCTCCTCCCTTAGCCCAGAGGCCTCCCATGCCAGCCTTCTGCTTGCTCCTTTCTTCAGGTCTCATCTTACTCTTGAGGTTTCTGTACACACACACACACACACACACACACACACACACAAACAAAATCCTCACCCCATCTCTGACTCTCCACAGCACCACACTCACTCCCACGAGATCCACGGACTCTGTGGACACATTAGTGCTCCATCAAGGCACTCGGTGGGCCTCCAGCAGCACCCAAAGCTCCCATGTCTTGAGTGGAGCATGTGTCCAACGGCTAAAAGAACAAGTTACCTTCATGTCATCCATGGGATCTGGTACCACAAGCCTTCAGTAAGAGGTAAAATGTTATATCTCATTTTAATTTTTGCCTATTTGTCTGTAACTTGGCTAACATCTCAGAACTTGTAAAAGTTCCTCCAGGGAGACCTGTAGGATAACAATTGATTTGTCCTTTTCTCCCTTGCCACAAGGAGCTTAGGTTTATCAGGTTGCACCCATCACAGTGCTCCCGAGTCACTCCTATTCCTTTGTTTGTCTGTAACCACTTCTTTGTGCTCTTTTCCCCAACCAGTTAATCAGCTTTTCCCCTAATCCGAATCTGTTCATTTGTAAGGTCAGATCCTTCTAGGACACTGAACTTGTATTGTAAGTTAATATTGCCTTTCTCCTCTCCTTATGTCTTTTGAATAGTTTACTTTAATGCAATGTCCTTTTTGTATAGATACGGGAAGACAATTAATATTATGCAATTATTTAATTGGCTTTGAATGTTATTCATTCCCAGGCATCTGCTTTCTCAACTTAAGCCTCAGTTGCCCTCACTTCCAAACGCCCCCAAAGGCAGGGTCCCGATGAGGGGCTGGATGGTACCAGGGCAAGCAGGTAAGCTATGTGCTACGCTGGCATCAAGATGGGCCAGGCCAAAGCATCATGATTCTTAACTATGAGTTAGGAATTTGATCATAGACAAATGCTGTCATGATCCAAAAGTAACGACGAGACTAGGACCCTGCTAGGGATAGGAAAGACTACCTAGCCTGAGCACTGTAGTTTGAGATCAAGATGGCCCTAGGAGAGCAATTCTATAAACTTAAAGTGTTTCTTACTGTGTCCATACAAAATGATTTATATTATGTATGCTTATATGTTTGCTGGACAAAGAGAGGAGAAACACACCCAGGGGATTCCGTTCTAGGGTGGGTTGATCTGTCCTAGAAGAGGGTTTCCCGTGTGTCCAGACTAGTTTGGATGAGGCTGAACATTTCTCCCCTTTGAACTGCCTTCAGTAAAAAATTTCAGTATATTGTAAGAGGAAGCTTTCCTTTTCTCACAGAAACCTGGCTGGTCTTTGACATGCAGATCTTAGCTGCTAGACAGGCCTGATCTTTGGGATGTTGAGTCCAAGCTCTAGCAGACTAATCTTTGGGATGCAAATCCAAGTGCTTGTAGTCCAAGAAAGGTTTCAGTCTTGGTTTTGTATCTTCTTTCTGGAGGCCGAAATTACTGGCCTGCAGATGTAAAGAAACGATGTATGTTTTTCTGCCTCAATGTTCATTCTGTAACTCCTTTTGATGACATCACTGCATTGTGCCCTTTAGAGGTACCGTGTGATCTATATAAGGAGATTCCAGGCCTCTCGAGAGGGAGAGGTCTGAGAGAACTGGGTGGAAAAACCATGGCATAAATTTCTTTTATGGGACATAAATGAGACTATAAGAGGGGTCTGAGGGAGGCAGAGGAGAGACAGGAGTGAATGGAGAGAGGATTGGAACAAACTGCAACTAAGACCAACCGGCCTGGCAGCCTGGCCCTCGTTTCCTTCCTTCGCCTGCCCATCGCCATTGACCTCCTGGGGGTGGGGGAAACAAACGAACTGAGACTAAGAACAAACGCGGGCAGCCGGACAGATAGACAGCTGCCATCCTTCAGTGTTTACACAGAGACCAACTCAGGAAAAGACATTCTCAGTCATACAATGTTCCAGCACCCATCCCTCCACCAGTGTACATTTCTCACCACCAATACCCCCATATACCTCCTGCCACACCCCCCAACAGCCTCCCCTCTATGAATCCTCTCTCTCTCTCTCTCCCCTCTCTCTCTCTCCCTTTTGGGCATTATGGTTTGCAATACAGATACTGAGAGGCCATCATGTCTGATCGTTTGCCCACTTTCAGCACACACCTCCCATCCGGAGCCATCCCTTCCAACCATGATAGTCATAATGGTCCCTTCTCTGTCCCATCTGCTCTCCTCCCCAGCCCTTGAGGCAGGTTTCCAACCGTGGACTAAAACTCAATCATGAAAGCTGTGTAACTGTATCTTAACGGTGATTCAATAAAAATAAATAAATAAAATTATAATAAATTTTTTAAAAATTGTTTAATTAAAGAACCACTATTAATGGATTCTTAAACAAAAAGAAATAGAGTGCACTTTTGTCTAAAAAAAAAGAATAGTTTCCAAAGATTAAAAAAATAAAAGAGCATTGTAAATCTACAACTGTACCTCATGGTGTTTCACTAATAAAAATCTAAATAAATAAATAAAAGAGCAAATGTGCTCGCATAATGCTTCATTCCTAATGAA